ATGCAGCTGCTTTTATACAAGTAAGTTCAAGATACTTACCGCTGTTTAACAGTACTTTGCTTCAAGTGTTTCTACAGCTGTAAGTAACTGTTGTTTTGATTTCAGTAAAGAAAACAAATTACAAGGAAGTGAATTCGTCAAACTATGCCTATTGTTCATTTTATTTATAAAACCCGGTAACTGGAAATTCCAGAAGCCCCCCGTTTTTTGGAGAATACCTATACAGAAGGGTAGAAGCCCCAATAAAGTGGTAGAAGCCCCATAAAATTGAATGAAATAGGGTACATAAAACCCTAAGGTGATGCTCAAATGAATGATATTGATAACCGTAAATTTTAATAGCCAATTTTACCTCAGAGTCGACAGAAATCGGGCGCCATTTCTTCTTGTTTTCATATACCGTACACCACGCCCGATCTAAAATCGCGATCGCTGAAGTCGTTTAGAGTAATCCGTGAAAATCATTACCATTATCTTGATCAAAAGTGAATAATATAATATATGATTTTTATTTAGAAAAAAAAAATATGAAAGGAAAGTTAAGAATATAAATGAAGCATTAAATATTTACATATTTCCTAAATGAAATAAAATATTAATTATGAACATATTTCATGGCCTACTTGAATTCTTTTATCCACACTGGTTTGTACCTACCAAAAAGAATTTTATATCGAAAATCATTATTGAAAATATGAAAATATTTGTATAGATGATGTGTACTGTTACATAAAAACATTGTGATTTAACCTGTTGATAGAGAATACTGTAACAGTGAAAATACTCATTGACTGGGTGTTTTAAATGAATTTAACTAGGCAATTAATAATTAATAAATTCCTTTTTTAAAATTCCAATCATCTATAATATAAAATTAAGTTAAATAAATTAATGAATAAAGTGATTTAAGTTGTTATTTATTTAATTTCAAAGGTATTTGTTTTGGTTTCTTTTTCTTCCAATTGTTTATTTATATTTGAAATTCAGTATTCATGCATTCATTATTATTTTCCAGTCACTTGTTGTAATTTTTTTTTGGTTCTGTTTTATTTGGGGGAGGTTTTTTTTTTTTTTTTATCATTTTTTTGTTCATGTAATAGAACAAATTATACTCATTGATATCAGAAAGCAATATGTATCCATTAGAATGAAATTATTAGAATCCAGGTCCAGGAAATAAAAAAAGTTACATAAAAATGAATAAAATGTGCATAATTGCATATGCAAACACTTGTAAAGTGGTATGAATATGGTGAGAATATTATTTACACATCAGCTAGCTGTGTTGTTATGTACTGGGATAAAGAGGCACCCCTGTGTGTGTACATGCAATATATACACAGCTGTTGACACTTGGTCAATTTGACAATAAACTTCTTTTGATCAAACACCTGTTCTCAGCTAGTCTGACCAACCCCCCTCTGGCAGGGCATGTGTATATTTACACTGAACCTTGACTATGCTCAATTGTTCTTGACTTTCATTATCAAATTGTAAAATAAATGATTTTGTAATATATATTTTTTTTTAAATAATGTTGATATGAAATGGTAATATGCTTTAAATACAAATTTTCATTTTAAGGACGTTAGCAAACACATAAGGAAAATAAGGAAAATATGAATTTGATAATTTTGATACTAATATTAATAATGATAAATTAATAAAGACCTTTTAAATTAGTAATACCTGGAAAATATTCAAAGTTTCCTTATGTTCCCAGCTCTAGCCATGTGGAGGCCTCCTTAATTGTAGAGCCATGATTTGAGTTTTGAAACAGAAAAATATTAAAGTCAAAGGACCGAAAGATGACCGAAAGATTAAAAGAAAATTTAAAAAGACTTATTTTAATAAAGATACTTTATCATTATTCCTAGTCAATCTTTTGTTCATGTATAAACATATTACAGCCAAATGAAAGAAATTGACATAAAATTAAATAACATTATAAAAAATTTCATAGAAAGGAATTTATAATTTAATTAGCAACATTAAAAAAAATATATATATTCCTAAACTAACCTAATCTAACACAACACCAAACAGTATTCACTGGTCTGCACCCGTCTGGCGGGGGAGGAATACTGCCTGATACTAACCCTACTCTAGGAAAAATAATAAGTATACAATTTTAAAAACATTTTTGGGTTTTAATGGTTTAAGACTGGTTTAAAAGCGTTTCTGCAAGTGGGAGAAAAAGATATATATTCATCTTCTCTGTCGGTTATGGTGTTAAGAATCCAAAACATTATTGAAAAACTGTTAAGAAATGATTCGGTTCAGAAAATATTTATTGGAAGTCTGTTTAGGCAAATGATTTGTGGAACCCTGGATCCAGGGAAAGTACTGTTTTTGACATAAATAACACACTACGAAGGAAATATGGGAATTCTCAGAATGTGATATTTTGGAGATGTAGGGGTTTAATGAATTCAAATAAAAACATTTGGCGTGAAGATGGGATTAGTTTGAACAGAGAGGCAATGGAAATTTTTAGTCGACAGATTCAACTGGCAATGAAATGTAAAATTACATAAAATACCTATGCTAGGAGATGATAAAAGATTTTCAGTTCTCTTAACCAGATTGAGATTTTTTCGTAGTTAAAATTCAATCAAAAATTCCGTTATATTTTATTTTGTGGTGTGGTTTTTTTTACTTTACTTTTTTTTAAATTCATATTTCTTTTATTTTAATGACAATTCATAATGTAAACAACTGATGTAAAATATTTAAAACATGTTAATTTTTTTTTCTAAGAAAAGAACATAAAAAAGTTACTTTGAAATAAAATATCTATATATTTGAAAATTGATATATTCTTTTAATTTACTATTTCTTTCCAGGTTTCAGTATTTTCATATTTTGACATTGATTTACTTTTTGTTCTCTTTTAACATATAAGTAATTATTTTCATTTTTAAAATTCAATTATTATTATTATTATTGCTTTGAACCTTTGAATTTCATATTTTTATATTTCTAAATTCATAATTTGTCTAAAATCTCAAAAATAAATTCAGTATTCTCATATTTTGAAATTTATTTATTTTTTTGTTCTCTTTGAAACATATAAGTTTAATTAATTATCATTACTATTTTTTATTATTATTGTTGCTTTGAAGCTTTTGGATATAATCATATCTCTAAATTCTGAATTTCTCTAAAATCTCAAAAATAAAAAAAAAAACTTAAATTATCTTAATGGCTAACGTTCTTAATTTAAAAAAAATATTTATTACATAATATTTGATATATATCTTGCATAACAAACATATTAAAATTAAAATGAATAATTTTAACTTTATCTATACGATGATAAACAGCAGCTCGCTTCGAAATTAGATCGGGCGTGGTGTACAGTAAACCAGTAATGGCGCCCGATTTTGTCGACTCTGAGTGAGGTAAAATTGGCTATAAAAATTTACGGATATCGATATCATTCATTTAAACATCACCTTAGGGTTTTATGTACCCCATTTCATTCAATTTTATGGGGCTTCTACCACTTTATTGGGGCTTCTACCCTTCTGTATGGGTATTCTCCAAAAAACGAGGGGCTTCTGGAATTTCCAGTCACCCTATAAAACCGCTTTTCTGTACTTTCACTTTCGATTTCATAATTCAATTGATAATTAAAGAAATCTTCTTTCATGGAAGACATTGGTTAATAATTTCAAAGTATAAAGTAAATTAGCTACTATAATTAGTTGAAACCAATGAATAATTTGACAAGCATTTTATTTTTCAGTTAAATAAAAAAAGTATCTGAATACGGACCTGCGGCTGGTAATTTATTTTCCTTTGGATCCTGAAGCAGAATGGATCCAAGGGATCTTCACTGGAAACATTCGCTGTTAGAGCAACTCCGACAGCGGGACAAAAAGGAGAAGGCACCATTCGAGTCTTTGATTGCTTCACGTTAGTGATTTACTACAGCTATTTATCTCTTATCCGGGAAGTTGACACTACAATACAACTGGTTTGTGTGGTGAAAAATGCACTCCCCCAAGATTTCTTATTTATAAAATAGTTATACTTAATATGTCACTCCACACTAAACCTCTAATTAATGTTGGAAAGACTTTATCATATAACAGGAAGATTACAACTGCAATATGCTAAGTATTTTAGGAAATAATATTTAGTCCGAATTTCCTCTAAACTAAGGAGTGTTGTTAAAAAATTCCTTTTCAGTGTTGGTTGATTTAACCTCAGTCCTCTATGAATTATGAAGATGTTATTAAATTACAGATTGGAAACATTTTGAAAGTGCACAAACTTTGAAGACAAAGAATGTACAACTAACAGTAGAGACAGAAAAACTAAAGGAAGAAAATCTTGGACTGCAGATCAAAGCTGAACAAGGGCAAGTACCAGATCTAAAAATGTGACCTCACATGAAATTTAGGGCTTGCTATCCAGAAAACTCTTACAAGACAATTTGAAAAGAAAAAAAAATCACTTATTTCATAGGGGAATACTTGTCTTGTTTCATGGATTTTCTGCATTCCGTTTCCGGATTTAAAGAAGACATCTTGTTTTAATTTCTTGAAAGTAAATTTGATAACAGCAAAAAGTTACTTAAACGCTAAGAAATAATTCTCTTGGTTCCTTTTTAGTGGAGGGGGAGGGGGAGGAAACAGCCAGGCCCTGGAACAGAAACTCTTTAAGCTTCAGGAGGAACTCACAGAACTTCACAGGAGGAGAGGAGAGGTACTCAGCAGTTAATTTCCAAATAGGATCAAATACATGTATTCCATCAGATTATCCCTTAATATGTTTTACGGCGTGACCGTTGAGGCGAGCGCAGTTGTACTATCAAAACACTTGAAAAATTGATCAGCCACTTCAAACATCAAGTCGCACGAGACATCTAGACTAGCTTTGACGTCACAGAGCTCGTCGGAGCTTACGGAAACGGCCGAGCGTCTGTTTTAAACTATAGATCTAGCACAATTTCGGTCGAAAAACATTGCAGAGTTATTTTTTGTTTCTTTGAAAGATTTCTACAAACTGAAAGCTTTTTATGCTTTACGTTATTGTTTATTTATTTATCTATTTCACGGAAGCAACCGACATGACTTAATTAGCATATCGTCAAAATTCGTAAGTTTCCGGTGACATCATTTGTATCATTTCCGAAGGGCAAGGTGAAAGCCGGTGTTGTGGCATGGGGGTATTTCTTTGAATAAGGTAAGGCAAAATCATTTCGTTAAGATTTCGGTAAGAAACAATGTTCCTTTATTTTTTTTACTATTTTTGATTTATTTGCGCAAAGGACATTGGGTAGTGCAGGAATTCTGGGAATGTTGCACAGAGAAATTTGGCTGACGTATGTACAGATTTCAATCCGAATTTCCTCTGTTCTTACACGTTAGTCTATTGAGCTCGCTGCGCTCGCTATAAAAAGAGCTATACATTTGTCTTTCATATTTTGAATCAAATTCAGAATTCTATTATACAGGGTGTCCCAGAATATATGATACCATTTCATGAATATATAAAATATAATGTAATGAATATTAAATGACAAGAAATGCACTATAAACATTGCATATACTGTCCAATTTTATTCACAAAATTTTATGGACAATGAAAGGAACGCGGCAAAATGAGTTCACTTTGAAAAATGCTATTGTTTTTAACAAATGACCTCAAAATGACGTCCAATCTGGGTAATGATCATGTCTAGACATTGCACAAAATTCCATAACTTAAGACAACAATGCGTTTTTCTTTAGTTATAATCTAGATTTTCATTGGATATATACCTTTTTAGATAAATTAAAGATTAAGATTTAGGTTTAGTAAGAATATCTTAAGACTGAATTTGATAATTACAGTTTTGAAATGAGGGTACCCAGCTTATTTGATAAATCAGTTTTGCTTCAAATGCAATATTTAGCCATTTTTTGACGTAATTATGTGGCTACATTACTCCAACTATGTGAAAAATTTTAACTGATATTATTTGTTGCTAAAATTTTAATTACTCAAATATTTAATGAGACAATTTTCAAAGAAATTGGTCAAGACCCACGTTTCTGACAATAATTTAAAATGGTATCATATATTACCCCACCTCTGTCGATTTTTCCGTGAAATCCTGGCTTACGATTGGTTGAAGTCTGTCACGTGAAGGCGGTGGATTTCTTATACCCGGTCAGTTGTAAATCCATACCCGGTCAGTTGTAATCTATACCCGGTCGATGTATTACGTCACAAACACAAACGTGACGTCATAATAGGCACAGTATAAGCGTGCTGAAGGATTTAGCAGAGAAAACCATTTATAAACTACAGATAAAACGTAAATGTTACATCGGTGGGGTAAATTCGTTACATAGTCTTTTAGTGACAGGGTATGGGATGATACCTGGTTAGTAAATTTCATACCTGACTCGGCTCCGCCTCGCCAGGTATGAAATTTACTAACCAGGTATCATCCCATACCCTGTCACTAAAAGACTATGTAACTAATATTATGGGACACCCTGTATTTATCATTCTTATTCGGATTGTTTGTGAAACCAATGTTATTCCATTGTAGAACACACAGCAGATAATTGACCTAAATAATGCCCTTCAAGATAAAGAAAAGGAGCTTCAAGGAAGGGATGCCAGGTGACTAATTTTCTTGTAACCTTAATTGAGCTGAGAATCTCAAGAGAGATTTTTGGTCTTTGTGGCCATAAAGATGAGCTCACTCTTGATCCCAGTCTCACTTTTTCGCTAAATAATCCTTTTGTAAAAATGAGACTTTAACATGCATTCTCTGTAAGCACCAAAAAATCTTGGAAACGACATGTCTCCGATTTTGATGAAATTTGCACCACAGGTGCACCTTGGTACAAAACCAGCAAATATGGTGTTAGAAGTTTCCCACGTGCATCCGGTTGCCATGGAGACGGATCCATTGAATTTGGCCATTTTCGGCCATTTTTGACCAAACAAAAGCATGAAAATTGAGGAAATATGAATGCATTTTTATCTTTATGTAGTGAACTCAAATATAAATCTTTGTATCATAAGAAAACATCAACTGTTAAAGAATACAGAGCATATAACCAGTTATTCCAGAATTGACCCCACTCTTAGAAAATGGTTCGGCAAAATAGCATAGTTTCTCAAAATGTGAAAAATGGAAAATTTGGCATTTTTTGAGAAATTTAAGGTTAAATAAAAAAGATTGTCTACAGAAATTTTTCAAATCATATGCGTGTCGTCAAACTTCAGTATTAGTAGTGTCCCCTCATGAAAAAATTGGAGTGGGATCTCAAGGCTATTTTTAGTAACATGTATCTAGAAATAGACATATTTCAGAAAAATCAAAAAAATGAAATTTGGGCAGAGTTTTAGATGCCATTGCTAGGTAATTATGAAATATACTGTAAAAGTCAATGTGCTAATGTCAGAGACTGGACACCAATAACTACCATGCATATTATTTTCAGGGATTTCCGTTTTCTATTTATAGCTTCAAATGCCTAAATATAGACATGTCTCATGAAATGATGAAAAATGTCAATTTTTCCTCATTTTGAAGCTCCACTGAATCATAAATAATAAAAATATGGATCTCTCCAATATTTCATCAATAAGAACAAGGAATAGTATAATATCTCACAAATTATTGAGGACAGGCTCTCATCTCTATATATAGTACAAATGTCTAAAAATAGACACATATGAATGTTGATTTTCCACTAATTCTCAAATTAGAGATGGGAAATTTACCAACTTACAGTCACTAACTGTAACTGATATTATGTGACTGACAAGAACAAAAGAACATTCAATGGAATGCAGCATGATAAGCAGAGGTTTCCATTTCTATTTATAGTAACACATGTTTAAAAATAGACGTAATGCAAAATATCGGAAAATGTCGTTTTTTTTACTTTTTTCTAAAATTTTGGATGAATAATTGCTGACTATCTGTTTTTAATTGCTATTGGCATATGGTGACCAACAAGTAAAAGAAAGCCTTATATCAAACACAGAATGAGAAGCAGAGGTTTCCATTTCTATTTATAGTAACACATGTTTGAAAATAGACGTACTGTAAAATATCAGAAAAATGTAGTTTTTTGTACTTTTTTCTCACATTTTGGATAAAGAATTGCAGACTATATGTTTTTAACTGCTAATTGGCATATGGTGACCAACAAGTAAAAGAAAGCATATACGAAATACAGAATGAGAAGCAGAGGTTTCCATTTCTATTTATAGTAACACATGTTTTAAAAATAGACGTGATGCAAAATATCGGAAAAATGTCATTTTTTGTACTTTTTTCTAAATTTTTGGATGAATAATTGCTGACTACATTGTGTATATATGTATTTAACTGCTATTGGCATATAGTGACCAACAGGTAAAAGAAAGCATTATATCAAATACAGAATGAGAAGCAGAGGTTTCCATTTCTATTTATAGTAACATGTGTTTAAAAATAGACGTACTGTAAACTATCGGAGAAATGTCATTTTTTGTACTTTTTACTAATATTTTGGATGAATAATTGCTGACTCTCTGTTTTTAACTGCTATTGGCATATGGTGACCAACAAGTAAAAGAAAGCCTCATATCAAATACAGAATGAGAAGCAGAGGTTTCCATTTCTATTTATAGTAACATGAGTTTAAAAATAGACATACTGTAAACTATCGGAAAAATGTAGTTTTTTGTACTTTTTTTCACATTTTGGAGGAGCAATTGCAGACAATATGTTTTTACTGCTATTGGCATTCAGTGACCAACAAGTAAAAGAAAGCATATATGAAATACAGAATGTGAAGCAGAGGTTTCTATCTATTTAAAGTAACACATGTTTGAAAATAGACATGCTGCAAATTCTCAAGAAAATGTAGACTTTCGCACTTTTTTTTCTAACATCAGGGATGGTCAAAGTGCGGACAAACGGCTTTTATTAGTTATTGACAGAATGTGACTAACGAGTATGAAAAAGCTTTAGCTAAAGTGTATAAGAGTAATGTTTAAGGGTATTTTTACATTTCTGCCTATAGTAACACATATTTATAAATAATCAGGAAAATAAAGAATCATTCGTTTTTCTCAAATTAGGGATATGAATTTTGCAGTCAAACTTTCATTAGCTGTAACTGACATGGCTAATTGTATTCGGCGCGCCAGCGCGTCCACCTCATTCCAATACATATATCACAAAAGTATGTTCTCCCTGCATCAAAACACTCAAATGACAGCGATTTTCTTTATAAAATAAGCAATATCGTTTATACTCAGCTCGATAGCCCCAGCCCGATTGAAATTCTTTTGTTAGGTGGATCCAGAAAATTTTCCCTAGGAGTCGGTGTCTCAAATCACTATGTCAGTTTAAACTAGAACTGTCCAAACGGGACTAAATACCCTGCTGGGTTTTTCAGAGGTGCTAAATCATGAATATTTAATGGATCTTATTCTAAGAGAAGAGAGAAATGCTAAAACATTTTTAATGCAAATGTAATTGCTCATAATATTTTCATAAATGAAACGAAGGCGCATCAGTGACCTTGACCTTGCATTAATGGCCTTGGATCAAAATCATGACAGAAAATCAGGTAATAAGCAATGTTTGTGTGAAGTAGTAGATTCAGGTTTAGCCATAAAAAAGATATGGACCAGACACAAATAATATTTTTTTTTTAAGTGACCTTGAACTTCCCCAAATGACCTTGCGTCAAGGTAATGACACACTCTTAGGTCATGAGCAGTCTTTGTGTGAAATGAGAACCTACCAAGTTCATCCATAAGAAAGATATGGAGCGAACACGATTATGAAATTTTTTCTTCAGTGACCTTGAACTTCCCAAAATGACCTTGGTTCAAGGTCATGACACACACTTAAATCATGGGCAGTCTTTGTGTGAAATGAGAACCTACCAAGTTTATCCATAAGAAAGATTTGGACTGGACACGAATAATGAAATTTTTCTTCAAGTGACCTTTAACTTCCCTAAATAACCTTGGGTCAAGGTCATGACACACACTTAGGTCATGGACAATCTTTGTGTGGAGTAGTAGATTCTAATGTTCCTCATTAAGGAAGATATGGATCGGACATTTTTGCACAGACAGATGGACAGCTAGACAGACGGACAAGCTGATTCTTATATATCCCCAAACTTCGTTTGGGGGGGTATAATGATTCCAGGGATCCAGATCCCCTTTGATCCATGCATGCCTCACCACAATTTGTCCAAAAGTAATCTGAAATTTGCCGAAATTTTTTGAGTTGGCTTACTTTCGATTTCTCTCTCTCTATACATGCATGTATATATTTCTCTAGACTTAAACTAAAGCATTCAAAAAAAAATTGTTGTTTTGGTTTTTATAAATTTATTTTACGTATAAACATACATGTAAGTGTTGGAACGGGGGGGGGGGGGGGGGGGTTCAAAGATAGACATCACATAGGTAATAAATAATGGGGAGTAAATTTAGCCCCCCCCCTTTTCAGCAGGCATTTTGCACTGTAATCGAATAAGGGTAAGTGGTAGTGTTTAAAAAAATGGTACTGAAAGAAGTTCAATCTCCCTCACATGAAATAGGATTTCATGCTTGGGCCCCCCTCTTCACTTTTAATTCCCTTCTAACATGAATGTAACAAAGTATTTTGTTATGACCCTAGAGTTTTATCTCCTTTTTAAAGACTTGATTTTCATGGCAATAATCTCTAGGGTCATAACAAAATTGAACTTCTTTCAGTACCATTTTTTCTTTCTCTCTTGAGCCACCTCCTCCTAAGGAAAATTTTTTGGATCCACCTAACAAAAGAATTTCAATCGGACTTGGGCTGTCGACCTAAATATAAACGATAATGCTTAATTTATAAAGAAAATCGCTGTCATTTGAGTGTTTTAATGCAGGGAGAACATACTTTTGTGATATATGTATTGGAATGAGGTGGACGCGCTGGCGCACCAAATACAATTAGCCATGTCAGTTACAGCTAATGAAAGTTTGACTGCAAATTTCATATCCCTAATTTCAGAAAAACGAATGATTCTTTATTTTCCTGATTATTTATAAATATGTGTTACTATAGGCAGAAATGTAAAAATACCCTTAAACATTACTCTTATACACTTTAGCTAAAGCTTTTTCATACTCGTTAGTCACATTCTGTCAATAACTAATAAAAGCCGTTTGTCCGCACTTTGACCATCCCTGATGTTAGAAAAAAAAGTGCGAAAGTCTACATTTTCTCGAGAATTTGCAGCATGTCTATTTTCAAACATGTGTTACTTTAAATAGAAATAGAAACCTCTGCTTCACATTCTGTATTTCATATATGCTTTCTTTTACTTGTTGGTCACTGAATGCCAATAGCAGTAAAAACATATTGTCTGCAATTGCTCATCCAAAATGTGAAAAAAAAAGTACAAAAAACTACATTTTTCCGATAGTTTACAGTATGTCTATTTTTAAACTCATGTTACTATAAATAGAAATGGAAACCTCTGCTTCTCATTCTGTATTTGATATGAGGCTTTCTTTTACTTGTTGGTCACCATATGCGAATAGCAGTTAAAATCAGAGAGTCAGCAATTATTCATCCAAAATATTAGTAAAAAGTACAAAAAATGACATTTCTCCGATAGTTTACAGTACGTCTATTTTTAAACACATGTTACTATAAATAGAAATGGAAACCTCTGCTTCTCATTCTGTATTTGATATAATGCTTTCTTAAGCTTTACTTGTTGGTCACTATATGCCAATAGCAGTTAAATACATATATAGTCAGCAATTATTCATCCAAAAATTTAGAAAAAAGTACAAAAAATGACATTTTTCCGATATTTTGCATCACGTCTATTTTTAAAACATGTGTTACTATAAATAGAAATGGAAACCTCTGCTTCTCATTCTGTATTTCGTATATGCTTTCTTTTACTTGTTGGTCACCATATGCCAATTAGCAGTTAAAAACATATAGTCTGCAATTCTTTATCCAAAATGTGAGAAAAAAGTACAAAAAACTACATTTTTCTGATATTTTACAGTACGTCTATTTTCAAACATGTGTTACTATAAATAGAAATGGAAACCTCTGCTTCTCATTCTGTGTTTGATATAAGGCTTTCTTTTACTTGTTGGTCACCATGTGCCAATAGCAGTTAAAATCAGATAGTCAGCAATTATTCATCCAAAATTTCAGAAAAAATTACAAAAAACGACATTTTCCCGATATTTTGCATTACGTCTATTTTTAAACATGTGTTACTATAAATAGAAATGGAAACCTCTGCTTATCATGCTGCATTCCATTGAATGTTCTTTTGTTCTTGTCAGTCACATAATATCAGTTACAGTTAGTGACTGTAAGTTGGTAAATTTCCCATCTCTAATTTGAGAATTAGTGGAAAATCAACATTTAACAGTTAATTTCATATGTGTCTATTTTTAGACATTTGTACTATATATAGAGATGAGAGCCTGTCCTCAATAATTTGTGAGATATTATACTATTCCTTGTTCTTATTGATGAAATATTGGAGAGATCCATATTTTTATTATTTATGATTCAGTGGAGCTTCAAAATGAGGAAAAATTGACATTTTTCATCATTTTATGAGACATGTCTATATTTAGGCATTTGAAGCTATAAATAGAAAACGGAAATCCCTGAAAATAATATGCATGGTAGTTATTGGTGTCCAGTCTCTGACATTAGCACATTGACTTTTACAGTATATTTCATAATTACCTAGCAATGGCATCTAAAACTCTGCCCAAATTTCATTTTTTTGATTTTTCTGAAATATGTCTATTTTTAGATACATGTTACTAAAAATAGCCTTGAGATCCCACTCCAATTTTTTCATGAGGGGACACTACTAATACTGAAGTTTGACGACACGCATATGATTTGAAAAATTTCCGTAGACAATTTTTTTTATTTAACCTTAAATTTCTCAAAAAATGCCAAATTTTCCATTTTTCACATTTTGAGAAACTATGCTATTTTGCCGAACCATTTTCTAAGAGTGGGGTCAATTCTGGAATAACTGGTTATATGCCCTGTATTCTTTAACAGTTGATGTTTTCTTATGATACAAAGATTTATATTTGAGTTCACTACATAAAGATAAAAATGCATTCATATTTCCTCAATTTTCATGCTTTTGTTTAGTCAAAAATGGCCGAAAATGGCCAAATTCAATGGATCCGTCTCCATGGCAACCGGGTGCACGTGGGAAACTTCTAACACCATATTTGCTGATTTTGTACCAAGGTGCACCTGTGGTGCAAATTTCATCAAAATCGGAGACATGTCGTTTCCAAGCCCTATAGTAAATTTTTTGGTGCTTACAGAGAATGCATGTTAATTTAAACAATATTTCATTCACAGATGTTAAGGTGAACAGGATTGGGCAGCATGCTTAACCTATTTTAGCCTGCTCCCTACATCAAGGTTAAGGTGAATAATGAGACTTGTTTCAAAATTGAGCTCAACTATGTCCTGGAGCCTGGCCACCTATTGTTTATAGTCTCTGTCTGTCTAGCTATATACTGTATGTCCATCTGTAAACATTTCACACTTTCAACTTCTTTCTGAGCACCGCTTAACCAATTTTAACCAAAGTTGAAACACTGGATTAATGGGGTTGTAAAGTGTTCAAATATAGGACTAAGGTGTAAGACAGAGCCAGAAAAGGTGATCAAATTTTTACATTATTTGGAAAATAAAGGGTGAAAAAATCCTCTTCTCGAGAACCACGGCATCTGCAAAGATGAAACTTGAGCTTCCTGGTATGATTTAAGATTTTAATGGCTCAAAGCATAGCCTACGGGAGTAGTGTGGGAAAAAAGTTTTATGGAATGTACTGTAAACTAACCTTTATTTGCTTGCGAGAAATATCCGCAAGTTCCATGACCTACTCTAACTCTCGAATATTAATCACCACAAACCATTCATTTTCCTTAAGTATTTGTAGGTAACGTTTTCTCAGTCGCAAAAATTAATTGTCGCCAATTCATTTCAAATTGATGAATCACGAATAAAAGATGATGCGGTTAATAGGTGGTTTACAGTATTGAAACAAATCTTTAAATCAAAGTTTTACATAAGGAAAACTTTTTTTCTTATCAGAGTCATGATTGATAGTATTTATATCAAAGCATTCCCAGGTAGTGTAGATTTAAGTTTGTTCAAATCATTTTCCCCTTTCCACAAAACCACTTTTATATTAAAAGTTTACAATAATGACTGATTTCTGCTTTTTCCTATCCAAAGTGCTTGGGAGCAATGTGACCCATTGGCCTTTTGTTAGGCATTATGAAATTTGTGACAGTTTACCAGTGAAAGGCTATAAAATTCAGTGATCTTGTAATGTAATACATCTTTTTTTTCAGACTAAATGATCTACTTGCAAATGAACTGGCATTGAAGATGGAAATCAAAAATTTAGAAAGTACAATAATGGAATTAGAGGCCACAAATCAGGTACTGAAAATAAATGGAGTTCATGATTTTGTATTATGTAGTAATATAGCTTCTACACAATTGAAATCAATGGGGTTGAGAAAAAAAACTTAGAGATTTCCAGATATTCCAGATATCAAGGTTTAAATACTTATTAAAATAATGAGTTGTTGAAACATTCAAATCACTTAAAAAATATTCATGGATTTGAGATATTTTTAATAGCATTCAGGGTACCTAACTTCAGCTGCATATTGAAACTATATAGAACTGAAATTCAGCTTAACTTCATGCTATATAGACATATGTATTTGTATTCCTCATTTTTATGCTTTTGAAAGATGCTTAAGGATGAGCATCAGGCCTTACAGCTGACGTACACAGGTCTAGAGGAGAAATTCCGTAAACTGGAGCTGGACAATCAACAACTGCTGGAAAGGTGGATCAGACAACAGGCCAAAATGGCTGACCAGCTCAACGCTGAGAATGACCAGTTCATGTTGTAAGTTAGCCTAAGTGTTATACACACATAGATACAATACTAACTGACCAGCTCAGTGCAGAGAATGACCAATTAATGTTGTAAGTTAACCATACACCTGTACATAAATACTTAGCTGACCAGCTCAAAGTTGAGAATGACCAATTCATGTTGTAAGTTAGCCTAAGTGTTATACACACATAGATACAATACTAACTGACCAAATCAGTGCTGGGAATGACCAGTTCATGTTGTAAGTTAACCATACACCTGTACATAAATACTTAGCTGACAAGCTCAAAGCTGAGAATGACCAATTCATGTTGTAAGTTAGCCTGAGTGTTATATACACATATTTACATTTCCAATGTCATTGTCCGGGATAAAATTACCAATTGTAAATGTAATTGATTTCCTCATGAATGTTTTGGCGCGGTTCCAAAAAAAACCACGTGCAGGGCGGGACAACACCTAGAGAGAAGCAGGCTTGGAGCCCGTGGATTGGCGGAATCAAAGCATGTAAATATAAGGAATAACTGTCTTATTTTTCGAATTCATGAAGATGATCAATGGATTGGCTTGTGTGATAATTTTATGCATAAACGCCTTCGGCGTTGATGCAAATTATCACACAAGCCAATCCATTGATCACTTCATGAATTCGAAAAATAAGACAGTTATTCCTTAAATAGATACAATACTAGCTGATCAACTCAATGCAGAGAATGATCAGTTTATGTTGTAAGTTGCACATATATACAATTAAAGCACTACTGATTAGTGAACCATACCTTCCATGATTGGTATAGCTTGATTTAACCTCTGGTACCCATTAATTCATGTGAAGGATTGGGATTAATGGCAACTGGATTACCAAAATAATGTCTTTCTGAAAATTAAAACCAAGTGTAAAAAATACATGTTCTTCATTTGTTTTTTTAGAGTTAGACAACAGAAGTTAAGAAAAGATTTAGAAGAAGCAGCAAGGGAAAATATTCAAATTTTACCCGGAAAGTATGCATAAAAAATAATTTTTGTACAAATAATTTGATATGGTCATGTGTTTTCTTTGCAATGATATTTTTTATATTAAGCTCATTCAATGTGTAGCCAAATAAAAACGTAAACATTTATTTTATTACAGAGACGCTGGTGTTTTTGTACCCACAGCAATTCCTATATGTCTGAGTGCTTCATTACCTACTAAAGCTCAACATAAATTTGTAAGTCTATTATGTTTCTAATCCTTGTATCCAAATTTATGTTGAAAAATTTGTAAACGTAAGTCTTAAACGAAAAAAAAAAAAAAAAGAATCTTCTTAATGTGTAGTATTCTATCAGCATTAACGGCTGTTCAAATTCTTAAAGATAAAAATGTGCCTAGTGTATGAAACCTTTGGGTAGGGTATTTTGTTATTTATCCAGATGGTCATTGTGTATTTCTTTTCAAGGACGCACATGAAAGTGACGTGAATGCTGTGCGATGGAGCCCCTCTGGAGCCATGTTTGCCACCGGAGGGTCAGATAGAAAAATTAAACTTTGGGAGGTCATAAATGGTATGAAAAGAAGGGCAACACAAAGCATCCCCTCGCAAAGAGCATATCTATTAATCAAGGCAGCATTTGACATCAATTCTGATGCAAATTACATCATTTTGTCAAAAATGACAACTAATTCACAACACACACAAGCCTGTTACTAGTACTTTGCAACTCTGTTGCGAGGGGATAATAAAAAAGTTAGAATGATATAATCCATGCTTTCATGTTTTAGAATTACACATGGTTAATTTACTGGAGATTTGATTAATTTCAGGTAAATGTGAAGCTAAAGGTATCCTGACTGGAAGCAATGCTGGCGTCATGGCCTTGGATTTTGATCCAGAGGTAGGGTATTATACTAGCTTCTGTCTATTGACAAGACAATACAGTACTGCCAAATAATGGATGTTCAATACTATACAATTATTGCTGTTTTTTGAGGTCAATACAATGATTTAGCCATCTGAGGAGTACAATATTCACCGAGCCCGGAGGGCGAGGTGAATATTGTACTTCGAAGATGGCTAAATCATTGTATTAACCGAAAACACAGCAATAATTGTTTTATTATATGATTCACTGATAAAATGATAAAGCTCATTACTTGTTTGCAATTAATTCAGTCCTAGCCAAATACAAAAGAGAAGCAGAATTAAAATGTAAATAAGCCTTACCAGTCGTATCAATTTGAAGTTTTTTTTATCAATTTTAGTTGCCATGAAAAAAATATAATGTCAGTCTTTTTTATAGGATAGATTTTCAAAGGAAGGAGTATTATCAGGGAAAACTGACTGCTGTTTTTAGATCAATGTAGAGGAAATAAATCTTTGTATTGACCTGGAACGTCACGTGCAGGTCAATACAACGTAGTATTTTTCTAACATAGTTGGATCTCAGCCAATCAGAGAGATGGAAATTATTCAATCATATAATAAAATCAATTATCAATGATATAATGTTTAATATGTTATATGAATTTCAGGAGAGCACTATTCTTGGGGCTTCAAATGATTTTGCCAGCAGGGTATGGTCACTCACTGACCACAGGGTCCGGGTAGGTTCAGAATTTTATTAAAAAAATTATCTAAGATTAAAAGTGATAGAAGTGTAAGAAAAATACAAGTACATTTACATGCTTGCATGAATATGTAACACATTAAGGAGAGATTATAACATTGTATCTGCAGCACACTCTAACAGGCCACAGTGGAAAAGTCCTTGCAGCTAAATTCCTTGGTGACAGCAATAAGGTTGTCTCTGGGAGCCATGACAGAACTCTCAAAATCTGGGATTTACACAGCAGGTCTTGTAAGTAGAAATATCTTGTGAATTTTATTTCTAGGGCAGGTCACTCTAGATACAGTACTTCAAAAAAGAAAATTTCCGTCATATCAAGCCATTTTCTGTAAAGAGAGCTTTGATATCCTAACTTGTATAAAGGTTTGTTCCGACTTTTGCTTTAAAGAAAAAAGAAATGATTATCAATCCCATGGATTTTACTTTAATTACGTCCACTTAATCAGAGATAAGGGCTCTCATTTTCACATGTATTTTAAGACCTCTCTTTTTGAATACTATATTTTTTACCCCGTGACCTTGATTGAAAGTTTATCTTCTTTTGAAAAACTAAAGACATTCATTTTTTGCCATATTCTGAATCTTTGGCATTGGGGCTTTCATATTTCACCAGTATAATCTTTCTTAGGGTACAAAATTTTTTATCATGACTTTCAACTTGTAGTTGATTTACTTTTGAAACAATGTTACCTTGACCA